GAAAGGTGCATTGAGATGTCTGTCCGACAATAGCCGCACTAAGGGGCGAGCCCTGCGTCAAGAGGGGGATTGGCAGAGGCTTTGAGCGGAGGGGACGGTCAGCCATGGACGACGGTTTAAAAAAAAAAAAAAAAATGTTTGATTGGTAGAGTGGAGAGTGAGTCCCTTGTTAGAGGTTATTGGCAGTTTCTGATTAGCAAAGTCACTAGTGTCACTAGTTTCATGTTACTGTTTATACTGGGAACACAAAGCACTGGATCCATCCAGCCTAATGACCTGCCAATGAAAAATTCTTTTAACAGAACATATTCTGATTAAATTATTGAAATGTGAAGGTAGAATGCATATAGGTGTGATAAAATAGGAAAAGGTGGAACCTCACGGGAATTGGGGAGTGCATTCCCTGTTCAAAGTAATTGAAAAAACATTTAAAAGACATGGTTGCTCCAATGAGACCTAGTGATCCCTACCATAGGTAGACAAGGGTAAACAAAGGAGCATACTTAGTGTACCCAGAGTGGGCACATGGTGCTAATGAGGATTCAGAATGGAGGTTAGCAGGGCAAGAACGCTTTCGGTAAGTCACCTAGGTCCTTCAATTCCGTGTCACCATTTTGCACTGACCCTGCCCTGGCTTCTGTGTTCTCATATTTGAGAACCTGTAACCTAGACTCTCTTGGGAGGATTTCCTCAGGGTGTCTGGAACTTCTTTGCTCTCCTTTGCAGAGAGCTGGAAGTGCCATTGATTGTGTGCTGCTAGGGCAGCCCTGCGTCAATGATTGATTGGCAGGAGCTTTGGAAAGACTTGAGTCTGGACACGCTTTTGAGCTATAATTCACATTCGGGCTGCACCTGGGATTCAGCCCAGCACTCCCTTAAGTCATGGATCCTGTCTCAGTGTCTGGTTTTGGGGAACATGACTGAAGTCACCTTGGGGGCCATTTTGGAGAGTTACGCAAAAGAAAGGTAAGATACACAGGATTGGACAACTTTTCAACAGGGCCTGAATGCCAGGCAAAAGACTTGCCACCACACCCCCTCCCCAAGACTACATGAATGTTTGCTGTTTTGTTGAATGATCAATATTTAATAGTTTGCCAACTGTTGTGATTTCTCCCTAAGTGACTTGGCACTTCAGTTATAAAGCACCGTGCTTGGAAGTACACCTGGAGAGCAGGTTCGACATGCAGAACTTTATGTTCCATTCCCAGTCTCTGGGATATCTAAATCTTTCATGTACAGCAGTGGTTTTCAAATGTTTTTTTGGCTAAAAAAAAAAACCCTTATTCTTTTCCCATAGGAAGTTGTAAGTGCCCAACACAGAAGAGTTACAAGCAGACTGATCCAGACGTAGCATGTCTATGAGATGCTGCTGTTACACCTTACAGCTACAAGGAACACAGTAATGGATGGAAGCGGATTCTTTTACACCTACTGTATGGGTTTCTGGCATTAGCGAAGAGAAGAATTATAAGGAGAGCTAGTGAGTGTCTTTTTGTATGAGTGGTTTTTATCTCTTCCTGTTCCTTTGCTTTGCTTTGCTTTGGTCTCTGCCACCGTGCAGGAAGGGCAGGGCATCCCACGGGACTGACACTATCACCAAGCCCCCTCCCAAGCCAGCCTTTTGAGTGGAAAAGGGCTTCCTGGGCCAGCCATTCCCAAAGAGCATCATTCACTGGTCTTTAGTGTCCCAAAGGCCCGCAGCCCAGGCACCACTGCCAGTAAATGGCTACAGTGGCCAGGCAGGAGGTGTGGGTACTTGCAGCAGGCCAGGAGTACAATCTAAGTGACAACAGCCACTGCAGCTGAAGACAGTAACTCCCAGACAAAGTCAGTCTGTGCATGGGATGCAGCTTGAGAGCTTATAGAAAGTTCCTTTGGAGGGAGAGAGCGGAGTCAGCTGTTTTATGTTTCAGGCACTAAAAGGAGTGGCAGGGAGAAGGCAAAGAGCTGTTAATCAGAGAAGAGCAAAGAAGTGGCATCACACCAGAGCACGGGAGCAGCGACCAGAGCAGGGTCCATGGCGCCCACAGTGCCTGGGGCTGTTTGCCCGGGCAGGCTCCTGTCTCCTGGGGAATCCTGCATGTTGTCTGTGTTCGGGGGGGAGATGCCCTCAGAGTGACAGTGAAGGAGTTAATGTTTTGTCAATTATAGCTCCTGGAGACATGCCCCACTAAGCCTGCTTCCAACAAGATAAAACTTCATCCAAGAACTCCCCTAGACATTGCAGACAACCCAGTGCAACCTCCCTCCTGGGACAAGTGGGAGCTTAAGGGGTTTTCTGATCAGCCAGTGCAAGAGGAGCAGGGACTGTTAGGAGCTTGCAGTCTGCAGGACTAACTGGGTTCTTCGGGACACACCCAGTTGAGGACAGAGAAGCATGGACTCCCATGTTATAAGTATCCAATAGGGAAATCCAGTTGAGGAAGTTCCCTTAAACACATTAGTGGTTTTTTTTTATCACACATATTTAAACCTCACAACAACCCCTTGAAGTTCACACTATTGTTAGCTCCATTTTACTGATGGAGAAACCGAATTTTGCAGAAGCTAAATGACATGGCCACATTCTCACAAGTACAAAGTGGTTTCTCTGTGACTTGAACACACATGCTCTAAATCTGTTAAAGTCACCATTATGCTGTAGTTAGTTATAGCGTTAGATTCTATCATGTGCCAGCTAAACTTTCTGAACACCCTGAGAACTTGAAATTCAGGCATGGCGTAGAATCCATTCTCCCATACACACATTGGAGATAGGATTAAACCCCAATTTCAAAGTACACTGCAAGTTACTTACAGAGCTCCACTCACTGGGTCACTTCAGCAGGAACCAGGTTGACTGCAATCCTCTTGACTTCTAAGGTCTGCAGAGGAGCTGCCCTTATAGGCTTTCAAATGGCCCTACCCCCAGAGTCTGGTTAGTATCTCCCCAGGAATCTCTAGGAAATATAGTTGCAGGACCTCAGGTTGCTCCTGTGTACCTCTGATTCAGATATTTGCATTGAAAAAAATGTAGAAGCGTTCTATTATGCAATGACGCCCCATGCTCCAGGCTGGGCCAGGTGTGCCCTTATGTGTCACATATTCCTGCTCCCTGGGGCCTGATGCCAGATTTCCTAGCTGTGACGTGGAAGGTGAGAGCTTGGAAGGGTTCAGGAAAAGCAGATCCAATAACCTAGAGGAAGCAGAAGAAGAAGGTGGAAGGTTTTAATCACACTCCCGTTTTGTGGCACACTTTCTTCATCAACTCCTATGAGGCCTTTCTTTTTTTATTTTTCTTCCTTTCATCCCTCATCCTCAGCTCCATTCTCCACTCTACCCAAGGCACCATGATGGGTGTCTAAGTCCATGCATAGGGTCTGAGTGTGACATAGGTCCTATGGTTTTGTTTCCACTTGTGTTTTTTATTTAATGATATTAGTCTAGAACTCTTGCTATTATGCATTTCTCTCTACTCTCCACATATTTTTAATGTTTTTATTGATACATAGCAATTGTACATATTCATGGGGTAGAATGTTCTGATACATGTGTACATTGTGTAGTGATCAAATCATGGTAGTTAGCACGTCCATCACCTTCAACATTTATCATTTTCCTGTTGTGAGAATATTCAGAACGCTTTCTTCTACCTATTTGACATATGCAGCACGTTGTTGTTAGTTATGGTCACTGTACTGTGCACTAGAGCACCAGAACTTCTTCCTCCCATCTGTGACATTATACTAGACCAACCTCTCCATCTCCCGCCGCCCCCATTCTCTCCAGTCTCTGGGAACCTCTATTCTACTCTTAACTTCCATGTGATCAGTTTTTTTAGAGTCCGCACATAAGTCAGACCTGACTTATGACATGATTGTTGCCTTTGAACCTGCTGTTCCAGCACATGTCTCTGCAGTGGATGGCTCTGCTGTCCGAACTTGAGACTGTCTGTGACAGGCTTTTTCTCAGCCTGTGCTTGGGCAGGTAGATGGACTTGCAAATTAATGCCCCTGGGACCACCGTTCAGTCCAGCATGATAGCAGTTGGAGGCTAACGTCCCTGTGTCCTACCTGCTCAGGTGAGATGACTTTTAGGCATGTACAACACCACCTCCTGGTGTCATCTAGTGGCATTACGCTCCCTTTGTCCACAGGGATCCTGGAAATGATGCACCTTTCTTTTATTGATCCTCACACTGCCCTGGTCTAACTGTCCCACTCCCGCTCTGGTGCTTCCTTAAATCAACTCCCAAATAAGCTACTCGAAAACAAATCCTTGTCTTGGGATCAGGTTCTATTTATTTTTATTTTTTTGTAGAGATAGTGTCTCACTATGCTGACCAGGCTGGTCATGAACTCCTGGCCTCAAGCAATCCTCCTTCCTCGGCTTCTCAAACTTGCTGGGATCACAGGCATGAGGCACCGTGCCCAGCCAGGGTTTGCTGTTAGAGGAACCCATGCTGAGACAATTTAACTCACCTGTTCTACTGGTGAAGAACACTTAGGCTGCCTCCTACTCCTGTTTTTTACAAACACCGGTGTGATGAATACTTTCCTAGACATCCTCTGTAGATTAGCAAATGAGCTTTGCTGGGATCTATATCGGGAATAGGATCTGCTGATGGGTGGGGCATAGGCATATTTAATTTCACTTAGCACTACCAGATTTCTGTCCTTTTGTATAGAAGAAAAATTCCCATCTTCCTCATATCCCGATTGACACTTGGTATTAGCAACCCTCAGATGTGTGCCAGTTTTCTGTGTCTCGGGTGACAGCTCGGTGTTCTTTTCATTTTCACTTCTGTGATATCTAGTGTCCTTGAGCAGCTCTTCACATACCTATCGACCCTTCATATTTCCACTTGCGAGTTAAATGGCAAGGTTTTGAGGAAGAGCTGCTTCTGCCAAATTAGCCAGGACCCAGAGTGATGGACTGCAGAGCATCTTTGCTAGAAAAATAGTGGGCTGAGGTCAGGGTGGGGGAGGGACAGGGAGGAAATAATTCCTGAATGCAGAAGTAGGGTCTGGACCATTTGGGGCAGAGTATAGGAAAATAATTGTAGTATGGATGATGGCCACTGCCCCCTTGATTCTGGGAAACTTGCCACCTGAAATTAGAATGTTACCATTCAGATTAGCACATTTATAATTCTGAGATGGCTTCTAGCATCATTGCCAAAGTGACAGAGGCCCTTAAGGATGGCCAGCAGGAGTTGTCTGGGAAACTATGAGATCAGGCAGGGGCGTGTGGCTAAGGTGGGGGTCGGGCCAGAGTCAAGGATCCTGGTGTCCAAGGACAAGAGTGACTCGGATTGTAGGGCTGGGACGTAAGAGGGCTTGAGAACACCGTATAGACACCAGTGGAATGGTTGTCAAAACTTTCAAGCCAAAATCTGACTATATCAAGGTTTTGTTTTGTTTTGTTTTAATATGTGGAAGGGGAGCAGAACTTGGAAATACTTAAACTATCACTGAGCACTTCGTCACCATAGCAGTGAGAAACGCAGAGACAGGCTGGGGTAATAATAGTGACAACATAAAGAGAAGCACTCACTTCCCTGTGACATAAGCAAGTTGAAAGCATGCTGTTTGTGTTTTTAAAGACACTGAAAGCATCGGAGACAGTAGCATGTCTGGTTTAAATATTCTAACATGTGGTAACTCAGTTTTATGTCAAAATTCTAAAGTCTGGTAGCTGATTCTTTGTTTTCTTGCTACAGGGGGAAAAATTGTTTTTGCAAAGGCAGGAAGAAAGGAAGACAAGCTCTTCCTTTTCTGAAATTCCCTGAAGAAGGTCTCTATGGGAATACAGGCTCCAAGCTGAAGATTTTTTTTTTTTTTTGCTTTTGCTTAATACACCAGTTTTAATATTTGTTTACCAAAACTTCTGGTTTCTGTTTCAACAGGTAATGTGTGGAGTTACCCTTCCCATCTTCTCATCAAGGAGAAAACCGAGTAAAATGGAAATAAATACTTCTTCTGAGATCTATCATAGAATGGGGGTCACAGGGCAAACCAAGTGGAGAGACAGATGATTGAATAGAGAATCAGAGTTTATTCTCAATCCTGGGAACTGTAAAAAGAGAAATCTTAGGGCCACCCATCCAGCTCTTTAGACAAACAGAAGGTACCAGAGATCATTTATCAAGGGAATTCGTTGCTGACCTCCTGTAAGCAAGAACTTGATATTGTCACTAGGTCTAGCATGTAAAACCAAAATCTGTTTGATTCCACACTAAGAAGAAGTGAAAAGTTTATCTTTGCAGGTAACAGAACGGGAGATAGGACAGAATCAGACATTCTTCCACCTAAGCAAGAACATCTACATAATTGATGCTTACTTCACTCCCTTTTTCTCTTCTGACATTCCCCTTATCTTATATAAAATGTAGGTTTCCTGGGCCTCACGAGAATATAAACATTTTCCTTACCACTGCCCCCCTCCCAGACCGTCCTTTCACTCTGTACACTTGCAAATGCTGAAGCTTCCAAATTGCCCTTCTAAAACACAGCCACAGGTCTGCCTGTTGTTCGTGTTTTTCCCAGGCACGTCCTCAGTTTGGCTTAATAAACCTCTGTTGCTTGAGATTTTTGCCTCAGTCCCTTATTTGGTTCAACAGAACTAAAGCCCAGGACCAGAAGACCGCAAAGGAAGCCGGCTATATTTGGGAACACTTGAACATGCAATCAATGAATTGCTCCGTGTTGGGCAAGCTGCAGAGTTTAAAAGTCTTTGGGGCTCAGTCTTGGTGGGTCTTCGTACTTTTGTGTTTTACCCCAGGAGCCCCATGAGGTTCTCACTGTGAACACTAGAGAATAATCCCCTTGTGCTTCCGGCAGGGGGAGGAGAAAAATGACCAAGTAATTCAGGTTCCCCTTCCCTCAAGGGAAATTGCTTTACAAGAGCCTAACTGAAGGGAGGGAAGGGAAACGTTCAACTCCACCCCCCCTCTAGCTTTCCTGCCTCACCTAAGAGGGGGATGAGCTGAGAAGTGCCTTCGAGGGTCTCAGCCTGCTAGAAGATTGTGACCTGATTCTAAGGACTATGGAATGCTTCTCTTCTCCTTCTGCCTTATGAATACATCCCCAGCGCTGCTGTGTGTAATGGAGAGTTACAGCTGAAAAACTGCAAGTTTCAGACTCTCTTTAAGAAGGAGTTTCTAGGGAAACTCAAAGACAAAAGGGGAGACAAACACAAGAACACTAAAGGAAATTGCAGCCCCAGAAACCTGCAGCTATAGGAAACAGTAAGCACAGTGTAACTCCTAGCCAGATAAACATAACCCTCACACTAAAGGCCTACGTACCTCGATACCTATTAATATAACCCAGTACATAATGTTTAGCTTCTAATATACAATGACAAGAAATGCTAAAACACAAGAAAAGGTAAGTCTGAGCTGGGCATGGGTGGCTCACCCCTGTAATCCTAGCATTTTGGGAGGCTGAGGCAGGAGGATGGCTTGAGCTCAGGAGTTCGAGACCAGTCAGAGCAAGAGCGTCTGTACTAAAAATAGAAAAAGTATCCAAGCATCACAGTACACACTTGTAGTCCTAGCTCCTCGGCAGGCTGAGGCAGGAGGATGGTGTGAGCCCAGGATTTTGAGGTTGCTATGAGCTATGATGACACCATTGCACTCTACCTAGGGCAACATAGCGAGACTCTGTCTCAAAAAAAAAAAAAAAGAAACAAAGTAAGCATCATAATCCAATTCATACATGGCAGAGATTTGGGAGTTATCAGACCAGGAATTTTAAATAACTATTATTGATACACCAAGGTCTCTCATGTAAGAATGGGAACCATGCAAGAATAGATATAACCATAGAGATTATAACTCTGAGAAGAAACCAAAAGTAAATGCTAGAAATAAAAAACATCGTAATAGAAATAAAGAACACTTTTGCTGGACTCACCCATAGACTGCACGTGGGCAAGAAAAGATTGAGTGGCATTGAAGATGTGCGCTAAAAACCTCCCCAAACTGAAATTTGAAGAGAGAGAAAAAGAGAACAAAACAGAGTAGGCATGAACTATGGAATAATACTAAAAGGTAGTATGTTTGGATATATAGTGGGACTAGGAACATTTCCATAAAGTATATATAATGTTTCTATTGGATGCGAATAAGAAAGCATATTGACCCATTTACTTGTAGTCACTGGGCGGGGGAGGGACTGGTCTGAATGGTTA